TTCAGAGTTGTATTGTAAATATTAAGGCAAGCATCATGATTACAGCAAATTACCGTAAAACGAGCTTTATCTTTTGCACGTTAGTTATAGGAATTCCAACACTCTTTATTTTATTCAACATAGAAATTAATACACATAAGCTTTTATGCTAGTACGTTCACTTTTTTGATATATAGAAATATTTAGAGTTATTGTTATTATGAAGTACCTCACAGTAATTTACGGTGAATTTACATAAAGTATCTTACAGAGAAAATAATTCAGTTATTAGCCATTAATTTAAGGTTAATCTTAACCTGACTGTTAGTCTTCATTAGACAGGTTAGTTGTAGCAAGTTCTGTAATTAATTAGTTTAGCTTCATTTTGCCAGCTTTCATGCAACTGAGCCAGGGCTATATTCAGCCAACTTCAAAATCCCAGCTTAATTTCTTATCCTGCTTTTGTGCAATACCCCTCTGCATTATATAGATAAATATATACATTAAATTGGTCTAAAAGTCATGTTTTATTATTTCATTCTAAAATATTATGATTTAGGCAACATTATAAGCACCGTATCTCAGTTCCTCACACTACAAATCAAAAGTCAGAAGCTAAAATTGAACATGACTATAAACAGACATTATAATTGAATTGAAAAATAAATACAGCCTATTTTCATTGTGAAATTCTCTCAGTCGGCATCAGTCCAAATGTGTATGTGATTTATGGATGTTTCGCTTGCTTTATGCTAATTGCGTTATATAATTTTCTATGCATCAAATACACATACTCTAATTAGCAAGACATAACTACAAAGGACTAAAGAAGATGGAAATGCAAAGGATTATGGGATACAGTTAAATTAACACTAGAATTACAGAGGCAGTCATTTTGACCATTGTTTAAAGTTTAATAACTTTGTTGAAATAAAACCCATATAACTATAATTACTTGACTTTTCCTAAATGTGTGTGTATTTTAATTTAATTTTAATTTATTAAAATAACAAAACACAAAAGAGCTCTGGGTATTTCTGCCTTGACTGCCCATAACGGTCATATTGACTAAATACATTTCAGCATCTGCTACTTTTTCCCATTCCTTTGAATATGCTGGCCTCTATTAAGTTGCAATTTCCAGGGTTGATATAGCTAGGAACTATATCCTCTAACCACATTCATTATAGCTTATAATAATAATGGAACTTTGCCACAGAACCATGGCTGCAGCATGCATGTGCAGTGATATTACGTAGCACCTAAAAATAGCCCCCAGGTAGATAATATCCATTATTATTCAGTGAGAATAAGACTGTAGTTCCTAACCATATGGTCTAAACAATAGCAACTTTCCATTTTCCATCAGTCTTAGTACAACAATGTAAAAGAGTCAAGGTTTAGGAAAAGGTATAGAAAAATTAATGACTTTTTTATTTATTTGTTTTATTTATTGTTTATTTTTTTGAGTGAGATGCTAATGGTCGAATCTAATTAAATGGTCTCTAAACCAAAAGCTTCTCCCGCCCGACTCAAAGATTGGATGTATGGATTCAAAAATGGTAAAACTCAACTGTTTAACTCAATGGAAGTTATAAAATGAGCCTATTTCCACCAAAAAACTGGAAATACCAAAAAAAAACCTAATTAATTCAACAGAGTCCTACATATGGTCAGAATGATTGCTATAGCTAATGTAATAGTTAAAGAAATTTAGGTCGTTTCAGTGTTAAGCTTGGATTATTATATAATTATTTTGTTTACCTGTTTGTATGCAGGCACTCAGCACTCCCACCTCGGATTGATCTGTGCATCTCCAGGACCTCGCTGTTGTTGACGGTTGATGGTGACACATTGACAGTTTGACAACCAAACATAAAAGAAAAGTAAGAGGATGGTGAGGAAAACCAAAGGAAAGAAAAAAGGAACATGTGTAACAAAAAAACGACAGACATGTATTTAGCATTATTTGTACTTTTATTAATGGAAATGAACTAAAAACCATGACTGTTAGTCATATTAGTAGTATTAGTATTTAGAGTAACAGCATAAAAGATTTTGTTGGCACAGTATAAAAATCACATTAAACTTCCTTTCATAAAACATCAAAGATTCCTCACGTTGTTTATCATTAATAAAAATTAATAAAAGACACTAATAAAGTGATACAGTCTGATATAGAAAGTACTCATTTATATAAACTGCAAGTATACTAAACCACATACATTATTAAATATGCATTTCTAGTGGCAAAATAGTAATACCTGTCCTCTGAATATTCATAGTCCGAGTCTCCGGATCGATGTTCCTGGTGGGAGTCGTGGTAATGGGAGGGAGAGTAGGAATGATGGCGGTTCTGGTGGATCTCATCCAGACTCCTGATGAGAGGATGAAAGGCGATGAGTCGTACAGAACACATTAATCATCCTCTAGAGGGGCAAGACACTTCACAGGACCGTTATCACCTCTGGCACTACATTCATACATTATAACACTTAGGAAAGAAAGTAGGGCCTCTGCATGATAATGCATCTATGAATACAGTAGGCCCTATGAAAGAAATGGACACTGTACAAACATTTTTACTATTATAATATATTACATAATATTATTATGTCATTTATTTATTTTTTTTTAATTGACATGTTATTTTGTCATTTCTGAGCTTTTGTGTTGCAACTTGATTGATCAGTAATACAGTTCATGTAGTGAAAAAATTCCATTCAGTTTATTATACTTTAGTTATTACTTTGGCACAGAGTTGATTTTCCTTGAAGTTTTAAGCAGTAACATTTTTATTATTGCTATTATCAATAATAATAATAATAATAATAATAATAATAATAATAATAATAATAATAATAATAATAATAATTAAATAAATAAATCTATATTTTATTCTATTAATAGAATAACATTAGAAGTCTCTTCCATTTACCAAGGCTGCATTTTGCTGATAAAAATACAATAAAGCTATTATTATTATCAGTGTGCGAATTATACATTGACAATCAGGTTTTTTTTGGGGGGGGGGTCTTTTTTCATAAAGACCTATTTTATGAAAAAAACATGGTTTTCTCCAAGTCTTGTGAAGTCATACAGTGTCTATTGGTCGTCTAAGTCAGCCGGCTTCAGACTGTTGAATGACTTTTTTTCTCAGACTGATTAGCGCGATTATGCACTCACAATGGTAGGAACCGTTATAGGGGTGGTCAAATGGATATCTATTATTTTAATGATTAACATTATTATTTAAAATACAGATCAGAGTGATTTTTTTCTCAGTTTCAAAAGGCTGACCTCAACACATCTTGTTTTGACTTCTTTCGGGGGATTAAGCCTTAATTATAATGGTCAGTCCCCCCAAACCGTCCTGTAATTTGGACCCTGATTATTATTGTATATTTCAAAATGTAATTTAATTCACCAGCCATTCACTCCACACTTTAGTGTTAGATGATTCTTCAGAAAGTAATATGTATATGCTGATTATTTTCAAGGACAAACATTTCTATTTACTGCAAAAAAAAAAAAAAAAACTGAAAATAATATTTTTATATTTATATATAAAAAAAAAGTTTCATTATCAATAAAAAATATTACATATACATGTATATATATATATATATATATATATATATATATATATATATATATATATATATATATATATATATATATATATATATATATTCTTTTTTTATTCAGTCAAGAATTGCTCATGAATATGAACTGATAATATATAAATACAATATTATAACATTACAGTATTTTCTGAAAAAATCATATGATGTTACTTAACAAAAAAGCAATTATGCATCACAGGAATAGATTTTTCACTGTAATTTTGTTATTTTATTAGTCTTACCTCTGCATAGGGATGTGTGCGGGTCGAGAGCGGGCTCTACACTGGTCTTCCCTGTGCGGAGAAACTGACCGCGAGCGATGCTGTATGGCCGCCTGTCTCTCAGGTACAGTCAATGTGCTTGACCTCTCTCTGTCTCTGGAGGTCCTTTCTGCTGCTTTAATACACAATCACTCTGTGTCATACACTGCTTTCAGTCAAAACTGTACAGAATCAGACATTAGAGAGCTACAATAACACACACATTCACACATTTCTAAAACTACTGCAACAATTCATGCCAAAAGATTGTGCTGAAGTACCAGAACAATTGCTACTCATCTACACATGCTAGAAAAAAAACACAAGCAGAAAAAAGCACAGTGTGATTGTACTATTACAAAAGTCAAACTGATTTTATTATTAAATGTCTTTATTATAGATTGGTTCGGATTTAATCCAGAACTTAAACGTTAACTGGACTGTGAGTGGTGCAATATTTTTATGACAAATATGTGAATGGTTTGTAAAAAATACAAAGTGGATATGGTAAAGGTAAAAATATTAAATTTTTTTGAATCTTTGCTTTTAGACAAACTGCTTTTAGAGAAAATTACATTCTTCAGCACGATTTGTGTGCCTAACCACCGATTCAAATGTTATGAATTAATTGAATGGACGTTTTCAGTGGTTATCAGTTGATATATATGGTACAGTTCGGGCCTTCTGCGCAAAGTGGTAGGCTCAGAAGGTTGTTATCATCCATCCATATGGTTAATCAGCTATACTAATACAGAAGACTCCAGATCTGTTTTTACATTACTGTGACGGTTGGGTTTAGGGTTGGGGTAGGGGTAGACATTAATAAAATACAATCAACGGGAAATTGAATAAATAATAATAATTATTCTCAATAACTTCCGGCCGCAGCCATATCAAAATACACAATTGATGGATTATTAAAATAGCTATTGTCTACTGAAATAAACAACTAATTCTGAATGCCTAAAATGAGCCATCAGTGATTCTAATTGTAAAGGGAAATAGTTCACCAAAACTGAAAAATCTGTCTTCATTTGCTCACTCTTCACTTATTCCAGAGCTGTTTGACCTTTTTTCCTCTGTTGAACAAAAAATAATTAATTTTAAACAAAGCTGGGAACCTGGGACTTCAATAGTACTTGTTTTTCCTCCAATGGATGTCAATGGCTATGTTTCCATCCACCTATTTTCATGCGCATTTTAGATAACAGTTGATATAAACAGCAAGATGCGCATATGTTTTTAAAAAGCACATAGAAAACATATGAGTATAACAGAGTAGGATAAACTTTTTATTTGATTAGAAAAGCAGTGTTTAAACTACGATGGAAACACTTTTATTGAACAAATTCCAGTATGCCTTTTAAAAAAGTCATGTGATTATCTTTTAAGAGATCATGTAACAAATAAAATGTGTGTAAATTGACAAACCAGCAGGCTGAGCAAATTGAAAAACATCAAAAATGTTTTAGTAATTATTGCTATTATATTATTAATTACCTCCAGAATCAAGAGCATCTGTGCTTCACGTCTCATGCCTTCAAACACCACTATGCATTCATTGAATGCCGGCATTTGTCTTCTGAGGCAGGAGTAATTTATTAAATAAAGAAAAGATTGATGCAGCTTCTCCTACCGCAGCAAATTCTGTTTTTACTTTTGATTTTGGCGCCAGTTAATCAGAAAGTAATGATTTAGTTCTTATTGACTCATTGGATGGAAACGCAGCTTTATTTACACGTCTTTTATGCTATATTCATGTTTTGCGCATAAATTTATTCTGCATCTTTGAATGGAAACATAGCTAATGGCTACCGATTTTCAGCTATCTTCAAAATATCTACTTTTATATTCTTTTGGGAAACTCATAAAGGTTTGGAACTACTTCAGTTTTGGGTGAACTAAGCGTTTTATTTGTGCATAAACCTATAAAGTTTGTAACAAAACATGTTGAGATGTAATTCCCCATTACATTCAATTTCAAAGGATGAAATCAAACTGAAACCATTGTTACAGTTCATATCATCAGGTTTATGGAACTAAAAATCCCAGTTCAGTCACTAGTTCTGGCAGCTCAATGTTTCATATATTCATCATTCCATCAAGCATTGGCAAACAGTTGTGTTGTTGGAACTACACCTGTAGACACATCATCAAATCCTATTTATTAACATGACTACTATAAATGCAACAACTATATTAGTGCAAATATGACAAAATATCAATCACATTGATTGTCCAAACATCAACCCTTAGATTTTATCTTGGATATCCAAGATAAATGGCAGTTCACAGTGTTCCCTGCAGGTCTGATGACTTGCAGTACTCTTGTGTTCAATATATGCATGGAGCACAGTAGAAAACATCAAAATATCAGCCACGGCATTTTTTATCTTCTACACTCTAAATACTACAGCAAGCTTGTAGGGCATGCAAAAGAGGTGACATCCATTGTCATAAGACCCATTTTAATCCTGTTTCATGCTGTCATACATTCTTATAATCTCTTCATAACCACTTTCTGTTCTAGCTTGACAACAAAATTAAACAGGTCTTATGATAAAAACGTGTGTTTTCATAGAGAGTGACTGACTTACTTAGTCATTCCTCCACAGTGTCCATGCATAGTTCATGTGAGGTGTTTTTGTGGTTTAGTTTGACGCTCTATGGCCCAGCACAGGAGGAGAGAGACTCCTTCGTATACTTCAAAACCTAATATAACCTTCTTTTATAACTCATTATTCTATTTAAATCATACACAGCGATTTAAAAAGAAAACTTTTTGATCTTATGCTTTCATCTTTGTGCCAATTAAAAACATTTGTTTAAGAATGAATGGGCTTGCAAACAACAAACAGGATTAAAGGAACAGTAAGAAATAGGTGCAAAAACAATGCAGCTCCACTGTATTAGCTTTCTCTCTCAGCCTGTGTTGGGTTTCTACTCTTCGAACAGAGTATTCATTGCCCTCACCCACCTGAGGACACTACTGTTATACCATCATCATAATCTGTTTCAATGATGCGATGAGATCCTGAGACACACACACACACACACGCACACACACACAAACACACACACACGCACACACACATACATACACAGCATACAATTCAACTGCTGAATATACAATACAACAACAACATATAACTGCAATGTAACGATTTGACCTTTTTTCTTCATCTTGTGAAGACGAGGCAATTTAATTTGGTTTCTTTCAACATTTTTGCTTTGATGCTTTAAAATTGCTATTAAATTGCTTTAATAGCAATTTTATTTCCGTGTGTGTGACAAAATATCTTCGTAATCTCATTTAGTCTCTTCTCAGTGTGAATTGGAGTATGAATAATTAATATGGTTGCAATGTTTAATCATTTGCTCCATTTATTTATACAGTAGCTGTTCATTTTGAAATCACAGAGAATGAGACGCATGTAGACTTATTAGTGTCTCTAGATCTTGCTATAGAAGGAAAAGCAATAAAAGATATTTTAGACAATTCACACTTATATTTAAATGTGGTTGTCACTCCCCAACTTTACAGTGTACATGTGGGTATTACATGCTTGTTATTTACTTATTATTTAACTTATAACATGAAAAAGCTTAGCAAATCTAGCCTTTAATCTATATAGAGTATCAAGCCCCTTATGGTTCTTTCTTTCCACAGTTGTAAACAGCTGATGCTTTTTGAAGAAAACATTTCAGGAATGTTCTCCATATAATGAACTTTAGTGGTGCCCACGTGTTTGAACTTTACAATTTGCATTTTAAAATCAGCTTTAAAGAGCTATAAACAATCCCGGCCAAGGAATAAAGGTCTTATCTAGTAAAACCATTGGTTATTTTCTTACAAAATATTTTTTACATACTTTGTATAACCACAAAAGCTTGCAAAAGCAGTTGAATGCTTTACAAAATCGTGTTAGGTCATACGTGAGGTATGTGGAACTTTACTGACAAAGGCTGTCTATTTGGCTGACAACCTCTTTCTGAAATATTAGCAAAACTGGAATTAAATTATAATTCTAAAGGCATAAGCGAGCACAATAAGCAAATGAAAACCAAATAAATCATTGCATCTTTTAATGAAATGAAATGACACTCACTATTTAATGAGCATGACAGTTCAAACAACTGTTCTCAAAACATAATTTTCTCAATGTGCATGTAAGGGAAATGTTGAAGTAAAATTGAATCAATAACCAGAAAACAAGCTCTACAACAGGCAGCGTAATGTTTGTATAATGACATAATTGTAAAACAGCTCAAGAATCAAGCTGCTAGCAGTCACTACACATCAACAGAAATGAACAATAATAACGAAGTGTTTTCAAAAACCTGAGTTATATCCTAAAACACACCAGCAGTGCGCCTCAGAACGCCTTCCTTTTTAGACCAAAACGCCTATGCGCCAAGCTGAAACTATCAAACAAGTATTGCCCCTCGCCTTGCGCCACATTGTGCCGGGTGTATGAGAGGGCCCTAAGTGTTCCGTTATTGTATTGTTTTTAAAAGTTGGTCCGGTGTTCTGTCGTATTTTCCTACCTTGTTACTTTGTCCTGCCTCACATTCAAAAAGTAGGTAGCACATTTTGATGACGCAATATGCTACCCATCAGATTTTGCAACTAGTGTAAATTTTAATGTGTAGTAGTGTGATATGAAGCCCTAACCTGCCTAATCCCAAAACCAAACCTCAGAACCATTCAAATACAGAGCTGGTAGCATAATCTGATGGTTAGGATAAAACGTCAGGACGCTGGCAGTGCTGAACTACAACACAATAACTAGCAACAAACAATCTGTAATTTAAAAAACCTAATACATTTTTAGAATATGACTGATTGTTTTGCTAGGGGAGACCCGTATTCCCAGACTGGGATCTTTTACAGTTTTGGTATGTTTTGAAGCTGTATTTAAACTGCAGTTTGGAAGTTGTGGGCACCACCGAAGAAAGAACTGACAATCTACAAGGGCGTTTTTTTTTTTAGGGGGGTTGTGGAGAACATTTCAATTCATCAACTACTTTACTTTTCCCATTGACACACAAACACACTACTAGCACAAATACACCAGCTTATACTCACTTTGCAGTTTTTTACTAGGACTGTCTCCATGAACATGTCTGCGCGGGAGGCAAGGGGACGGTTGGGGCAACGGAAGCGATGACACGTCATGGGTCTGAAATTTGTACCAGTGTGCCTGATCATCCAACAGAGCTGTTTCCAGCTCAATCAGAATCTGGAAAAAAAGGAAACCAGAAGTAAGGATTTAAACTATAAAAAAAAATTATTATTCGTAGGTCAAAAGAAGTCAAATGTCTACCAGAAAATCATATAGGCATGCAAACACAATGGACTTCAAAGAACATATTACTTCAGAAAATGCTTTGAAAAAACTGCCCTGCACAAAAATACTTGAACTGCATTGAAGTTTTACTTTTTGAAATGAAATGAATCCTTTCAAGTATGGGAAACCAGGAGGCAAATTGTTCGACACTTTCCTACATAATTCACAGATTACTTGAAGTGAACAAGTCATCTTTTTATACACAGATACAGGTGCACTATTTAATAATACTCTTCATATTTATTTCACTAATTAGGAAAACACTATATTAAATGAAATGCAAATGTCAGGCTGTTATAATCACCCCCTTGGTGAACAGTGTTTTGGGGTAATTGTAACATTGAAAAAAATGTGCAATATTCACTACCTCAAAGTAAATACTGATGTATTGTTTAATTATGTCACTTGAAGTTTTTTTGTTATACCCTGTAAAAAAAATATCTGTTCATTAACAGTTTACATATTTAGTGATACACACGTTTTAATTTTTTATTGACAGTTGTGAATTGCATTTTGGGGCTTTGATCTCTGCTCTGCAGACTTTTGATGTTGGAATTTAACTCTACAGCTTAACAAAGTGAGTTTTATTGACATTCTAGTAGTTTGAAATAATATAAAGTATAATAATTAATTTATAAAGAAATAAGTCTGTAAAATAACAGAAAACGTACTGGCAGTTTATTACAAGGTTTTTGTACCGTAAAATACAATACCAACCCAAAAATTATGTCATGAATCACAAAATACAGAAAACTGCTAATTTACGGATGTTTTTCACAGTGTACTTTTTTATATTTGAGATATATTTTAGTTTTAAATATATGTTTTACTCCATACATTATTATTTATAACACAAATTAGATCATGAGAAGGTGATAATGAGACTAAAGTGAAATAAAAAAGATATTTCAGTCTAACTTGTTTATGATTTAGAGGAATTGATTGCAACACAAGCGCATTATAACTACACAGGTTTAGCTTACAGTTTTGTGAAACTGCAAAAACATACTTCAATAAATGTTTGATTGCAGTTTCTTGATATATGCTATAAGGTAGTGTAAAGCCAACAAACTTTGTTCCTTTTCACGCTAATGATATTTACAGGGATATACTGTATTATCAACAAATCTATGTATCTATGTTTGAATATGTACAAGAAGGATGTGTATCTAAAATGTACGACAAAGTTACCCTAAGTAACATTTTTTGAGATTCATAAAAATATAGACAGTGCCCATCTAGTGGATTTGTCATCTGACACTTGCAATGAAATGTATCCGGAGTAACGTGTTTTACGTTTTACAAAAATGTAGGCTGACACACATTTTTAAGGAGCCTGACTTGAGGAACTGAATGCGTTACAATTGCCCTGGTTTCCCCAACACATATGTGGTTCTGAATCTAGATATAGATCACTGATCTATTCACACCTCTCCCAGAAAATCACTCTCTTCTTCCTGGGCTCTGGGCTGATCCCAAACTGTGATCTCCAGCATGCGTTCTCTGAAGTCTCTGCGATGGACGTGAGAATACAGAAACGTCTGGTTCCACTTTGGCTCTGCACTCTTCTTCACCGTTTTTGTCCTTCTTTTGCTTTTGTCACTAAAAGAATATAGTGTGTTTACAAAAGTTAACGTACTGCTACAATTTGCTGACTTATTCCCAAACTAAGCTTTGAAAATATAATAAAATGTCTGCCTAATTATTTTTCATACTTTTAGCCCACAATACATTTTTAAAACTAAGCAAGTTTACAGTACAGAGCTAGTGCAAGGGGAAAAAAAAAATAAATTTAAAAAATTTCAAATACTTCTAAAAGTGTTTTTATCTAAACCTAAACCTAATCTAAACCTTTGCTTGAAAAATGCTAAATGCTCATTAAAGGGTACATCTATTTGTTTAAAAAACACAGTTAAAATCGTAACATTGTCAAATATATTACAATTTGAGTTATTGCAATATTATATCAATATCAATTTATTGAAAACATGTTTATCATATAATTTGTTTCAAGATCTTTTGATGAACAGAAAAAAGAATATTAAAAAATAAACATTTTGTGCAATAATGCAAACACATTTACTTTCACTTTCGATTGCTCAGTAAAAGTATAATTTATTATGGACTCAAAATTTTGAACAGCTTTGCATACAAGCCAATAACTCTTTAAAAAATGCAAAAAATACAATATATCTAAGATACAATACTTTCAACTTGTTTACCTTCTATCAGGAAGAAAATACATTTTGACGTAGGGATTCCTGGGTCGTCCATCAGGTCGAGGGGGCAGTTCTCGTGCTTGTAGAACATTGACAATAAGCTGATGGCCCACTTTATCATACCATAATTTCACCTTGGTAAAAAGAAATCACACTTCTTCAATGATCTCAAAGTGTTGGCAGTAAAATATTTTAATGTAAGAAAAAAAAAAAAAAAAAAAAAAATATATATATATATATATATATATATATATATATATATATATATATATATATATATATATATATATATATATATATATTTATATATATACACACACACACACACACACACACACACATATACATATATATATATATATATATATATATATATATATATATATATATATATATATATATATATATATATTTGTGTGTGTGTGTGTGTGTGTGTGTGTGTGTGTGTAAGCGCTGTCACCACACCACCTTGCTGTTCAGGTGAGAGAACAGGGCTAAATATTTTCATTGCAAATATTTTTTTTCCCTCTTCACACTCACCGACAGCTGGCCTGGCAGTACAAGAGGGAGGTCTCTCAACATCCCGGGACTAGTCGGAGACATTACAGAGATGGATGGACGATCCATCTTTTGAGATTCATCTATAGAACTCGAACCAGCTGTAAAATTACATAGTTGACAATTTAAAATCGTTTGATTATTGGTGAAAAGATTTAATAATGAAGAGAAAAATATTGCCTGTTTACAACAAGGATCCAGAAAAAATTAAAAAAGTCTATCTAAAAATAGAAACATAACTGTAAAGTTTAAACATTGATGAATAACAGGAGTGACAAAAAATAACATAAAATGGGATAAAACAACAACAATATAATAATTTAACAATATATTAAGATTCAACATTTCAAAGTTATTTAGTGATGTTTAAACTGTACAGTAATTTTATTTTATTTAAGATTGCAAAGATTTATTTTTAATTTGAGACAGTTTCATTTGTGTATCTTCAAATGAATAGAAATGAATAAAGTAACTTTTTTTTTTTCCAGTTTAGAATATAACCGAGCCTTTAATTGTCATTTATGCGGGATTTATAAAGCATATATAGTGCTCACTTTAGAGTAGGTCACAAAACTGGATGAAGTTGAGTTAACAAAGCATTTATTAACAAATAAAACAACTATTACTGTATGCCTGAATAATAAGATACAAAAATGTTAATTGAAATAGTTTATTAATCATTTACTTACGCATTCTTAATAATATTTAAAAACCAGCAACTTCTCTCACATAAATGTTTTGTAAATGATGCAATACTTAATTTAGTAATAAAAAATAATAATTAACAAAGTATGAAAGCACAATCATTAAGCACATTATACATGTTCTTATAAGCCAAGAATACAGCATTTGTATCTGCAGTTATAAACTGCTTAATAAGATATGTTAATGTAGAGTTTATGCTTAACAAATAATGAATTAGCTATTTGATAAAGTTTAACAAATGGTTCATAGTGTGTAAAAGTGTAAACAAAAACATTAATTGATTGATAAAACTATGTAAACAAAATCACATTATTGATCTTAACAGTGTCTGTATATTGTGATTTACAAGTGTTTTTCATTTATTTATGAACATGAATTGATTAGCCAACTCTTTCTCCCTGATGCCACCTCGCACCCGATTAAGCACAATGGGTGCCAGATATTTAGCTCCGCAGCTCCTCGACTATGGAACTCGCTTCCCCTGGACCTAAAAGGCAGTGATAGTCTTTAAACTTTTAAATCTTGTCTTAAGACCCATCTTTTTAAGCTTTTTTGATTATCTTTTATCATGGTATTTTATACTCACGATGTGTTTGCACCTGCAACTTCTTACATGCATTTAAAGTTTTGTTTTATTAATTGTTTTAATTTGTTCTGTTACATGTATGTCTGTTAATGCTTGCTGTAAGGTGACCTTGGGTGGCTAGAAAGGGGCCATTTACAAATAAAATTAATTATTATTTTTAATTGCATTATGGGACCCTTGATCTCTGCTGTCGACATTTGATTTCTACAGTTTGACAAAGTAACTTTTATTGATATGTTTGTAGATATACACTTGAAGTCAGAATTAATAGCCCCCCTGAATTATTAGCCCCCTTGTTAATTTTTTCCCCAAATTCTGTGTAATGGAGAGAATATTTTTTCAACACATTTCTAAACATAATAGTTTTAATAACTCATTTCTAATAACTGATTTATTTTATCTTTGCCATGATGACAGTAAATAATATTTGACTAGATATTTTTTAAGACACTTCTATACAGCTTAAAGTGACATTTAAAGGCTAAACTAGGTTAATTAGGTTAACTAGGCAGGATAGGGTAATTAGGCAAGTTATTGTATAATGATGGTTTGTTCTGCAGACAATTAGAATAAAAATTACTTTAAAGGGGCTAATAATTTTGATTAGAGATGCACGATATTTCCGCGGCCATATCGTTATCGTCCAATAAATGATATTTTTAAGATTATCGTTATCGATCATACAGAACTGCCTGCCTCGCGCATGCATGTGTGGAACTTGTTCAGAGTTGTCCAGTGCACTATAATGGATCTGGGAAAGTCCATCCTTTCCTTGTATGGTATTGCTGGGCAGTAATATCTCAGTAAGTAACCATGTTCCTTATCATAGTAGATATGTTTGATAGAGTGCCATTGTGTATTTTGATATCTGATCTGACAGCCTTCACAGCAGCACGGGGTAGAGTTGCGTCGGTCACTGAATCCAGCATATAGGGGCTCTCAACTAGCCGCACATTTTGCCTTTATAGTATGCTCTGTTTGTCATAAAGTCATCTGTGCTTAATGCTCTCAGGAATTGTATCAAAATCAGATTCCGAGGGCAAATCTGCACCCAGAGTTGAGTGAAACTCACAGCGGTTTATCATAAACTTTTCATCTATCATTTTTCCTGCAATTGACAGCAAGAATGAACATAGAAGCGTTGCCTGATTGACAAGTAGCAGCTACATGTGTTCAAAAGAATCTAAAATGCCAAACAGGATGAATCTATGCCGCATTTTCTAAAGTAATACAATCTGTATTTGGCTGTTCGCTAAAAGCCTTCATCAAAAGCCGTTTGGACATTACATATTTGTACACATGTACATTACTGTAACACACTTTATTCAAGTACATTTGAGCTGGTTTCAGTCCTTAGCTCTTTCATTTTCATTGTATTTAAAATATATTAAACTTGCTTTATTAAATCCCATTTTGTCATTTAACCTATCATTTTAATGCAACAGTCAAGTTGCATGTTAATTTGCTATGAAGAAAAGGAAATAATAAATTTTTTGCATCCTGATTTATGTGAAATCGTGAATATAGGTCTATATAATCACATTGCAATTTTGAAATTATAGCTGTTTTGCTTTGAGTATAGACTATTCAGTTCATAAGAGCAGTTCAATCTTTTATGAACTTTGCTGTATGAAAATATAACATTTTAAATTAATTCTAATTATCGGCCAATATATATTGGCTATCGGCCTCCATGAAGAGTTATCGGTTTTCGATATCGGTCAAGAAATCTATATCGGTGCATCCCTAATTTTGACCTCAAAATGTTTTTTTTTAAGGAATTAAAACTGCTTTTATTCTAGCTATAATAAATCAAATAAGACTTTCTCCAGTAAAAAAAAAATATTATCAGACATAATGTAAAAATTTCCTTGTTCTGGTAAACATCATTTGGGAAATATTTTTAAAAATAGAAAAAAAAATCAAATACATACATACATACATACATACATACATACATACATACATACATACATACATTTATAAATATATATATATATATATATATATATATTTTTTTTTTTTTTTTTTAAATGACAGAAAATGTACTGGAAGTTTATTACACCGAACCAGACAACATATCACTTTAAAATGTTCATAAAAGTTACTTTTTCAAACTGTTCAAGGTTAAAACATGTTTGAAGAAAGATCAAGGTCCCATAATGCATTTTTTTTAAGCGGGGGAAAATAAAAAAATAAAAACATGACAAAATATAGAAAACTGCTAATTTACAAATATTTTTACAGTGTAGTATTAAGACTGGCTTTATGTCAAACAATGAAAGTCAATAGAGACTAGCATAAGTCAAGTTCTACATAAAAAAATACAGATTTGATATTCTACTAAACATCTAATTTAATCTCTCACATTAAAAAAAACTTTTAAATCATAAAATTGTGAGTAAATGATGACATAAAATTAACTTTAGGGTGAGCTACCATACTTTTAAACTGAAGTCACAAAACCTACTTGATTCTAGAGGGGGGTGTGATGTCCCTGGAAGTCTTGGCGTTTCTCTGTAGGAAACACAAAATGGAAACACAGAAGAAAAATAATGTCAGTTGACAGATCATTAGCTTTCCCCTCTGCCAGTTTTTCCACACACATATGCACTGACTTGACTACATATTCCCTTTAGAGATGTCATGGCAAAACTGTCCAGACATAGGAAAGAGTAGGGAAGCGAAGGGCTGCTCTAATGCACTGTAATGGATGAATAATTTGAACTGTGGAAGAAGGGTCTGGAGCATGTAGGGTGACAACGGGGACACTGGCAAGAACAACACTCTCAGTTACTAACTTTACTTACTGATATGCTCTATAGACCTTTTTCAAGAAGTTTTTGGATAGAATTCGTTGAATACATCTTTAACATGCAACAGGAAGAAAAATCGTTGAAAGTCACTCATATAGTCAGTAGTTTGTTTTCTTTTACTTCATTTCCAAATCAGCTGTTCATTAAAACAAACAAATCTTACCCAATCGGTCTGGAAACAACTATTTCCACTTGAGGTGCAGACTGAGACTCCAGAATAATATTATACACTTCCTTTTTAGTTGCTCCAGGCAACGCTTTTCCATTCCACTGCAACACCTCATCGCCTGAAATAAAAATGAAACAATTTAGCACTCCCCAATGCCCTATAGACAGACTGACTGAATAATGAGCTATGAAACATTGCACATTGTTATGCTACCAAACATATCAAAATAGATCTAGAAGAAACACAAATACAAATTTGAACATTCCAACCCTCTTACAAAACGCAATCAGTTTTGTAATGCATTACAAGAAACGTGAGTTATGTAATTTATGTAGAGCTAGCTTAAATGTGACCATGTATTCGTTCATCTCACTTGGTGTAATGTGATGTCATCTTTTTGGCAAAAATAACCTTATAATTGTCATGTTAAAAAATATATGTATATTTTCGGGTTGCACGGTTTACCGGTACTATGGTAGTATTAGGATACTATGGCTCTAAAGTACTGGCGGTGCCACTGTAGTTTCTAAACGGTAGTATCGTCATTAATGGTTTATCTGCAATACATAATTTTGCAAGTGGACAAGTCACTAAAATGCTCACACGCTTGTGCAACAATAGACCATTTTATTTGAATAGTCTGTGGAGCACTTTAAGGTTGCAAAAGTGTGTAGAATTCACACCTTTTATGATAGCTTATTGCACGTTTGCTGATGCTTCAGTTCGAACGCACATCTGAATAAGTTCCTTTCTGTTCCTGTTAATATGATTTAGCAGCTACAACATCTGCAACAACCTCCTAAAAGAAACGATTCACAAAGTGAAATTTTGAATTACTTTGGATTCTTACCTGATAAGATAAAAAAAAAAAATTTTAATAAAAACAATAGATGAAAAATCCCCCAAAAAAACAACAGGAAACATTGAAATAATTTTTGACTGCTTTATATGGCCTAATTTGGTGTTTTTTAAACTAATTTCATTCTGTATAATTTGTATCTTTATTTTATATTTTTAGTGCAATATCATTGTTTTTTAAATGAGTGCTGAATCACTTTACTACTTGAATTATTTTATGTGTAATTGTTTTATGTGTAATATTATTAGATTTGGTTAATATTATTTTCATTACTTGATATATGACTTAATAGTATTAGTTACCACTGATTCTTTTAAGTGTAATATCTTATATAATAGTTTGTATACTTATGTATTGTGGCTGTTTCCTTTTATAGATTGGTTGGATTTATGTGACTTATTTCACTTACTTAATTTATTTATTTTGTCTTGTGGTTTTGTGTTTCTGTGTTTTGTGTGTTATGGCAGTCATTACATAAGCAATTTCCTGCGGGATCAATAAAGTTTTCTTAGTCTAAGTCTAAGTCTAAGTTAATGTATTTTTTGTTATCTACATAAGAAACAAAAAGAAAAAATACATTTTAGGTAAAGTGATGTGCAAATACTTTTTTCAATAATAAGGGAATTATGAATTCAATTCAAGTTGGCCTATTTTAACGTATGAAATATAGTATTTCTGACAATATTCTGTATTTCATGGATTTGAGTTATGAATTACAGTATCAAAATACTACTTGTTATCACGATACTTCAGCTGATATAGCGTAATGTGAATTAATGGTATCGCGACAGCCCTATTATATACATATAAATATTTATATATTTATATCATAGGTCTCAAACTCAGTTCCTGGAGGGCCACAGCTCTGCACAGTTTTACTCCAGCCCTGATCAAACACAGCTGATCAAACTAATCAAAGCATTCAAGACTACTAGAGACTACTAAGTAGGTGTGATCTGGAAGTGGTTGGAGCTAAAATCTGCAGAGCTGCGGCCCTCTAGGAATGGAGTTTGAGACCACTGATTTATATTATTACAAATAAGCAAACCCAGTCCACATAAAAGATGAAATATAAAAGTAACATAGGACATTACGTTTCTTTACAAGCAACTAAGTAAAGAAGTAACTCAAAACTGCAATGAATTACTTTAAAAGGGTACTTTCTCCAACACTGAGAGTAATCAGAATTCTTATTAAAATAATCATTTACCTGCTCGTAAATGCCCGACAATGTCAGCCAAACTTCCTTTCTTTACTTTGGTGATAAAGGCCCCCAGTCTACCAGACTCTGTCATTTTCCCACCAACAACCTGGACAGAACGGATAAAAGTGTTTAACATGTTTACTTGCAGTTTCCATGAACAATCTAAGTGCCATTCTTCAGCATCTTTAGATTTACAGTGTGCAGCAAAACTATGGTTACAGGGTCAATTCCTAGAGAACACACAAGCTGATAAAATGCATAATTTAACTATCCTGTAAGTCTCTTTGGTTAGAAAGTCTGCAAAATGCATGAATGCAGTCAGGTATAGAAGTATGATAAAAGAACATGACAAAAAAAAAAAAAAATCAGTTTAACAGTATAGGCAAATAATAACAAGAGTACAACCATAAATCTGTTACAAAAAACATAAAACAATGACACATTACATTTGAACTAAATTGAATGCAACAGAATAAATGTTTTGGTGTGGATTTGTGTGCGCATGTAATATTTGAATGTTTAGCCAAATCGTTTATTAACTATAGTTAGTTAAGTAGGTCTAACTGACAATTAATGCAAAAAAACAAACAAACAAAAAAAAAAAAAGAATTAAAACTACTGTATGTGTTCATGGTGCACATTTTCTCTTAAGTTTGCGTTTGAAAACACTATTGGTTGTATTTAAAGAAAGGTTTAGGTCAGTGTGTCAGGATGTGCAGGATGTGTACAAGAAAGATCTACAATGTACAACAAAATGCAGCCTAAGTGACATATTTTTAGTTTCACAACAATGTAGTCTAAAGCAGGGGGTTCCCAAACTTTTCAGCTCATGACCCCAAAATATCAATGCCAGTGACTCGCGACTCCCATCATACTCTGTGGTTGTTATAGATGCACAAACCTTGCACATAATGGCGCGCACACACACCAATTGACCAAAGTTTGTTCTTCATTTTTTTATTTTGAAGAACTCCACTTATTATCCTTTATGTTTAGTTGTGGCCTGTATCTATTTTTATGTATGTTTGTAGTATAAAGGTGTCAGAGACCTTAACATGGTGCCATAAAATCAGTCTGCTGCATCTGACGCTATTGGTGTCTTTGATATACGTTTTAATAAAAAAATCTAAACACTGATGGCTTTTTATTTGCATGTTGTTTTTTAATGCAACTAACTACTATTTTGTGGGCAAAATATGGTAATTTTAATAGTTTAATCAAATGAATTTGATTTTTGGAAACGACCAAGCGACCCCCCTCATTGCCCAATGACCCTCACTTTGGAAACCACTAGTCTAAAGCACTTTTTTTTTCAAGAGGCTAAGATTAAAGGACACAATGCAATATTTTGGTTAACATTCTTATATTTCAGAAAAGTGACAAACAACCAATAGAGTTGTATAGGTCAGAGAACAGGTTAAAATTTTTGACACAAATATGCAGCACAGACCAGCAATTACCTTATTTGGCTAGAAATGTGAAACTTGGCGATACAGCAAACCTGAACATCTATATCTGACAAGGCCCTCCTTCTAGCAGTGACTGTTCAGCTTGCCTTGCATAACACTGCACTTCAGTTTTATAAAATAATCCATTACAAAATAGTTTGGGAAGCAGTTATTTAGGGACGACATAGTTTGGTGGAGGCAGTATAGCTTTCAGAGTTCACTCATATTTTATTTTAGCTTATTGAATTCTATTTTCTGGGTCACCACAGTGGAATGAACCATCATTTTGAGAGTTAATTTTGACTAACTATTTTATATCTTTTATCGTATCATTTTTCTATCAGTATTTTAAATCATTTGTTACTATTTTATTGTATCATCATCAACAGTATTGAACCCAACTTAAATCTAGCACAACCCTTCAAGTGAAAGACAGAGATGTGATGTGATTAGTTGTTGTAAACTTTCATTGACAAGCTCACCTTCAGACCCAGTAGAGAACCGGCTTCTCGTGGCATAGTGGATCGCTTACTTAAAGTGATACGGCCAATCAAATGATCTCCCTCTTTGGATGGCTGCCAACTCACTGGATGCTGAGAGGAACACAATATCACTTTATCAGTAGCATTAATGCTCAACACACATGTGCTGACATGACATGTTTCATGTTCAGATACAAAAACACACTGTAATCAAACACTGATACAGAACAGAAATATGTGATCGAAATATACAGTAGCTGAAATACTTACATGCCACACAGTGGGGTCCAGTGGATGACAGTCCCAGTCACCTGCAGAGTAAAAAATACATATTAATAGATACAATAAACAAAGATTGCTTAGATTAGATTTAGACGGTCCCAGTTGCCTGTAGAGTAAAATGTACATTATAATGTATACAATAAACAGAGTTTGATTAGATTTGATGTAGAGGAAAAAATTTATAGGTAAACTCAAAAAAAATAAGCTCCAAAATGTTTTGTTTTTGCAGTGCCATAAAAGAACTATTTTTGGTTTATCAAAGAACCTGTCAGCAACCATCTCTTAAAAGATATGCTCTTACAGTGTTCATAACATTTTTACTTTTAATTTCTAATTCAATAAACAAACAAACTATGCCTTCACATTGAAACTTATTGTTGAATTGTTGTATTGTTATTTAGGTGTCATTGACAAACTACTAAAGTTTTGTTAAAATATTAAACATTTATAGGGATTTTTAAAAGGATTTTTTAATGTAACCTGTTATGTTACTTTAATTATTAATTTTAGTCCTTTAAATTAAGGTAGACGAAAATGAGAAGTGTTGACTTGGAAACTATATGAAGTAAAAAATAAATAAACAAACAAATAAATGAATGAATGAATGAATTAAAATAAATAAATAAATATATAATAATAATAATAATAATCATAATAAAATAATAATAACAATAGGGTGCAGACTAATGTCACATTACTCTCATGTAAAAAAAAACAACTTTCTAAATCCTTTTACTTAAAGTGATAGCTTATCCAAAACTGAAAATTGTTTCATAACTCATTCCTCCTTGACTTTTTTCTTTTTGAGTTTCTTTTTTTTTTCTTAAATAAAAATAAGTTGATGGAAAAATGGAAAACCACAATAACCATTTACTAAATTCTAGTTTATCCTATAGAGGATTCTAACACTTTTCAGAATGTAGTTTTGTGTTAAACAAAATAAAGAAACTCATAAAGGTTTGAAACCACTGCTGAGTAAATAGTGATTACATTTTCCGTTTGGGATAAACTATACCTTTACAATACAAGCTTTCATGTACAACATAACAGCAAGAAATGGAACATAGCTTTTTAACAATTTATTATGCTGTACATGCATTGGTAATAAAATATTAGTTAATCAAAATAACTTTTATAATTAATGTCAGCACATTCACTTCCTTTTTATTAAAAACAAATTAATAATAATTCTTTGCTTCTCTGCTTTGAACCCCTGGATATATATATATATATATATATATATATATATATATACTGCTGATACTGTGTTTTGTCGTTTTCTGTACTGTATTCTGTCTTCACGAAAACAAGACAGGGAGTGTAAAAGAAAGGATGGGAGGATAAGATTAGTAAATGACCCAAGTCAGATTCATGTTGGAGCATGTTTGCTATTGGGCCATGAATCTGACAGGGAACATTATGTTTGCACTTTAGAGTAGTTTTTTCTTCTGCTTTTTTAAACATACTTTCTTGAGTCTTGAAACACATATGCTTACACCCAACATAGTTTATACCAAGCCTCAATTATGTAGCATATTTAAAGCCATTCTGCAGTGAATGACAGTGAATAATGTAATAATTTAGCTTCTTTTCTCGCCAAGGGTAAATTCACAGCTAGCATTTTGTATCCAAAGTTCACACAATTACATAATATTTTCACATTTGGATCATTTACATAATTTGACAGAAATACAACTTAATTAATTAAAACATTATCACGCCAGAGACTTTTCAAACCAAGTGGCCTGAAGCTAAGAGCAATGGGAACAGAAAAAGTATAACTGCACTTTGGCATGGGTTAAACAAAACTGAATATAAAAATATTTCAAAATTGAACATGTTGCATCCCAGGACTGATGCAAGTCAGGCAGTCACTCAGCGATTTTATGTGAGAGAGCTGCTGACCTAATTCCCAAATCTGGTGCCCTAATTTTTTTTTCCCAAATAAACAAACACAGCTTTACAGCATGAATCAGCATGCTTCACAGACCCACAGTCAGACTCAGAAATAGGTATAATGACGTATGTAAAACGATGCTATCTAAGGCAATAAGGCAAAGAAAAAAATAATAAAAAATTAAATATACAGTTTAGGTCAGAATTATTAACCCCCCATTTGATTTTTTTAATGTATAAAAATAATGCTTAACAGAGCAAGGACATTTTCACATTATGTCTGATATTTTTTTTTTTATCATTTATTTGTTTTGTTTTAGCTAGAATAAAAGCAGTTTTTAATTTTTAAAAAATCATTTTAAGGTCAAAATGATTAGCCCTTTTAAGCTATTTTAAGCTAGTCTACAGAACAAACCATCATTATACAATAACTTGCCTAATTACCCTAACCTGCCTAGTTAATTAACCAACCGTTGAAATTGCTCTTTAAGCTGAATATTAGTGTTTTGAAAAATGTCTAGTAAAATATTATTTACTGTCATCATGGCAAAGATACAATTAATCAGTTATTAAAAATTTGTTATTATAACTATTATGTTTAAAATGTGTTGAAAAAATCTTCACTCCATTAAGCAGAAATTGAGGAAAAAATAAACAGGGGGGCTAATAATTAGAGTAAATAGAGTGCAACTGTGTAGAGTAATGATGTTCATAACTTAGGTTAGTAACTTTTAAATTTTGGTTCATGATTATTAAATACAATTATTAAAAATGTATCAAAATAGAACATTATGTGCTGAAGTGATTGAGGCTGTCTAGATTCTCATAAAAGCTTACCATGCACTTAAGCTGAGCATACATTTAAGAGCAAATGGAAAACACAGATCTTTAATGGAATGTTAATTATTTGCATTCATCAAAACTAAACAAGTCAAGTTTACACTTATAAGATTGTAGAAAGTGCAGAATAGCAGTTTAACTTCTACCGTATTCCTGGTTTACATTTTCTGTGCATACTAATGACAATTAAGAAATGCTGAATCTGTTTGTGTGTGTTTCTTGAGGAACCCAGGTTATTCTTTATTTTGTAGGAAACAAATGCTCCCACAAGGATGCAATATATATATATATATATATATATATATATATATATATATATATATATATATAAGATATATATATCTTTTGAACCTGATAGAAAATACTCTTTTACAAAAAATAGGTCTGATGGATTTAGAAGGTATATATATATATACCCTCTAAATCAATCAGACCTATTTTTTGTAAAAGAGTATTTTCTATCAGGTTCAAAAGTTTTAATTTATAGGTAATGATAGGCTATAGCTAGTAAATAAAATACCTTTTTTCTAAAAGTGTTACTTTTAGACAATTCTTTGTTTTTTAACAAGGTAGATTTTCTTTTGCATCAAAAGTAGTTAAATTCACTTGTGGTTTTTTGGGAAAAACCTCTAAATCCACCTATTGGGACAAGACAGTGTTGAAAATCCCTACAGACATAATTAGAAATTATTTTACCAGTCATCGAACACCTAAAATTAAGTAAGTGGCGGTTAATTCTGCTGTGGTCACCCCTGATAAACCTGGGACAAAGCAGAAGGAAAACGAATGAATGAAATCTGTCAGGTAAGTGCATTAATCAATAACATTAAATATGACATTAATTAAATCTTAACAACCTGTTGTCATTTCTGATATTTGGGATTTAGATTTAATGTAAGTGGAGCAGTGTAAACATTGCAAACATTGTAAGCTAAGCTTAGTAGATTCATATAATGTTGTGTAAAAACATTGTGAAACATCAATATCTGTGCATTGGCCATTAGTATAAAAGCTTATCAGATGTATAGGTATTATGAAGTAATACAAATAATATATTGTTTTATACATTATATTTATCTTTTAAAAATTTGCTCTCATTAGCAAATAAAACACAAGGTCTACTGGGCAAAAAAATGGATGTCTTTTAGACACGTGTAGAAGCTGTCATTCATTCATTCTCACCATACTCAGTTTTTGTCTCTTTTTGTCTCTTGTTTATCCTCAAAGCATCCACATGGGATAAAAGAACAGCATCTTAACTTTGTCTTTAGTGAAATGCAGTTGCCTTTTAATGTATAGTAAATCTGACTCATTCAAAGTAATGTTGCTGCGCAAGAAAATGTCATTTCTTTTTCTTATAATGCACAGAATTTTAAGGTAAATGATATTTTCATTCACTGACTGTCGGACAGGCTCATTCAATTTATCAAACTCTGTGTTTTAGAATCGAAATCGAAAGCGGAATAAAATAGTCACGTCTTAAAACTAAGTGTATCAGCGTGCTGCTACATTGAAATCGATTTGCGTCTTCTGATTGGTTCTTGGGATACAACGTTTATTTGCTGTCATAGGCAAGTGGTGTTTAGAGGCTTTTGCCAACAAACTGCTATTTCTGAATGAGCTGACGCTGGGATTTAGATGATTTGAAGCAAATCTATTTGTTGACGGTGTACTTCGTGCCTATATATACATTATATATACACACACACACACACACACACACACACACACACACACACACACACACACACACACACACACACACACACACATATATATATATATATATATATATATATATATATATATATATATATAAACTGTGTATTATATACACACACACACAGTTTATTTTTAAATATTTCCCAAATGATGTTTAACAGAGCAAGGTGATTTCCACAGTATGTCTGATAATATTTTTTGTTCTGGAGAAAGTCTTATTTGTAATATTTTGCCTAGAATTAAAGCAGTTTTTAATTAAAAAAAACATTTTAAGGTCAAAATTTTTAGCCCCTTTAAGCTATATATTTTTTCGATAGTCTACAGAACAAACCATCATTATACAATGACTTGCCTAATTATGATAACCTGCCCAGTTAACTTAATTAATCTAGTTAAGCCTTTAAATGTCACTTTAGCTGCATAGAAGTGTCTTGAAAAATATTTAGTAAAATATTATGTACTGTTATTGTGGCAAAGATAAATTAAATCAGTTATTAGAAATGAGTTATTAAAACTATGATGTTTAGAAATTGGGAAAAATAAACAGGAGGGCTAATATTTCTGACTTCAACTTCATCTATTGCACTTATAGCCAAGTCATAAATAGCTTTTTTTTTAAAGAAATGTTTTAAGAAAACCTGCTACTGAAAATACCTGAATGTCGTAAAATGGTACCATGACCTCCACTCACACTCTCACACACATGTTGATATTGGTGGTTTAAGAGGATTCTTCATTAGTGTACAGATTATATGGCCCTGACTCCACCCTAAACCCAAGCCTCACAGGAAACCTGTGTCAAAATCTGAATGAGGTAAAGTGTAAAGTATGATTTTTAAGAGTTTTGAACTATTTTAATAAAAATAGTTATAGTTATGACCCATGTCATTACGCAAACGTCTGTCCTCGCAAACCATCAAAACCAGTAGACACACACACACAACAATATATGTGGAGGTGTGGGGATTTGCCAAAGTCTTCCATTGTTTTTATACTATTGATTTTACACTGACATAACAACATTTTCTACTCACTAAACTAACTCTAGCCCTCAATCTAAACCTTACAGAACATAACTCTTGTCAACATAATAGATCATCTATTTTTGCTGTGGGGACCAATATATCTGAACAAAATGTCAGGTTTTACTCTTCTTGCTCTCACTTTTGAGTTCTCACACACAAAATTACACAATCAATTTGTTTAGACTAATTGCCACAATGATCACTAAAAAATACAGATTTGCCACTGTATCTGGATATATTACAGTATCACAGAGAAATTCTATAAATATATTGATGTATTTATAATAAAAGGAGTTAAATGATCGCCCACCTTTTTCACTAACACTTTCGATCTCCACATCCTCACAGCTGGTGTATTCAGGCGTGGAACCTCCTTCTTCTTCTGAGCTACTGATGGACATCTGCCTTTTGTTGAGGCCTCGTTTGGGTCTGTAGGCTCTTGGTGGAGGTGGCCGTAATGACTCAGACTGGTCTGAGCTGAGAGAAGAATCTTTACGCATGATTTCTGCAGCTTTTTCCCGCTTGGCCCTGTGCAGAAAAGCTGCAGACCCAGGTTCCAGATGCCCCTTTGGGCCCCAATCCTGTCCATCCCTGAGGTCTGGAGGCCCAGTAAGGCCCATTTGAGGGCCACCATGGCCCTGTTTGAGGGACCCTTGCCCCCCAACACCACCCCCCACGGTCCTGTCCACAGAATAAGCTCGATGGTTTTCTAAAAGAGCCTTGCGGTCCTCATTGCTAGCTACTCGTTGCCTGCTAATGCGATTTCCAGCAGCTTCGCCACCATCCTGCATCAGGCCCACTTCATTGATGGCCAGGTCACTGTGATGACGCTCCTGGCGCATTTTGGAGACTTTGGCATGCATGCGCATTTCTTGTTCCTCCTTCTGCGGTTTAACAGGGTAGCGGGCTAGATTGGGGTCACTACGGTAACGGGTCTGGTACTCTTCCTCTCGTCTTTGCCGCTCTCGCTCTTCCTCCTCCTGTCTTCTTCGTCGCTCAGGGTGGGTGGGATCGTCCTCCTGTGAGTGGTCTTTCTCTAGTCGTCTACCATCTCGATTCTCACCTGGGGCTCGGTCTTCAGAGGCCTGCGACGATAACCTGGCTGGAGCTCTTCTTCTCTCTCCACGTCCAATCACTTTTCCATTCTGCTCATGCATGGACACTGGCCTCCTCCTGTTATTAGTTAGACAAAATAGAGAAGACTAATAGTGAAAAATTGTGTTTGGAGTTTACAAGTTTACAAATTTTTTTCCCAAATTTTATATTTCATTGACTCCATATCAATGATTAGAAGAATTAAGCATTATCAAAACTGATCCACTCAATTAAAATCATCAAACTTTTTACACAATATTGAGGATTTTGCATTTTGTTTATGTTTTATGTTAACAAAAATGTTTTATTTTTATATTTTATGTTTTTTTTTCATTTTATTTTTTTATTTGACCTGAAAGTGAAATTTAAATTTTGGTGGATTGTGAAGACAGAGTTACATGCCTTGTATTTCTCACGCAAACTGGTAATGAGCTCTGAAAAGCCTTTTTAAAACGTTAAAAAAGATAACATTTTAATTGATCTTCATTTTCTAATGGTTAGATTGTAAAATAAATGAAAGTACTATTTTCACATATGAGTAAGAACGTGTGTTTTCTTGTTTAAACATCACTATAATAATCATGTTAGATTGTGTTAATTATAATCAAACATGTTCTATCATTTTGGACTGCAGTGCAGACATGAGGATTTACATAATCTCGTTGACATCTAAAAGAAACTGTGAACTTTGAGAAGAATGGATTGGAAAGTGTGAATTTATGAAGTGCTAAATGTGTCCTTCTCTGGGTCTGTGCCAGATCACATGACCCAAAAACATGTAAACTCATGTGCTTCAAATTGTGGGAATTCAAGTACAAGAAGGATTTAGCTAAATATGCATCTGATAGGAAGACAGACAACAGACGAGATTGTTTTTAAAGAGATTATAAGGCAGGAGATGTAGTCCACACACTGCCTGTTAAAAACAGGTCAGGGCAAACAGATTTTGTTGAAATATGCAGCCTAAAATAGAACAAATTGTGAGTTGGCAGTGGGGATGTGTAACCCTACATTTAGAAAATTCAGTTCTAGGAATCCAAGGGAACCCAATGATAAATTGGTCTTAGAGAAGAACAGTATAACTTTTTTATCATTTGACAAGTAATCTTAAAAATATGATGATGTGGCTCAAAATAACATTAGATAATTTTAATGAATAAATATTAAGTTGTTTTTTATTAATTCATGTTTGGTAATACTACATTACATTACATGAAAATGATTTGGGTACTTAACCTTACAGAAAAAAACACATGAGACTCATAAATCAAAATCACAAAAACATTTAGTGAACACGTGAAACAATTAGTTAAAAAAGATTTACAGAATTTTATATCATTTATCTTTTAAAAACCACACATTAAAATGAACACTCCACTTTGTTTTTGGAATTAAACACTGTAAAAATGATTTGTGAATTAACAATTTCTGTATTTTGTGCTTTCGGTTTCCACTATGGAACCCTTGATCTCTGCTCTGTCTTCTTTCAATGTAGAAAATTCAACTCTACAGTTTAGCAAAGTGACTTTTATTGACATTTAATCATTTAGTTTTTAGCTTGAAATAATGTAATGTTTAAAATATTAAAGAGAAATAAATCTGTAAAATAACAGAAAATGTACTGGCAGTTTATTACAAGGTTTTTGTAATAAAATATATATACCCAGACAATATACCAATTTAAACTATTAAAAAAATAAAAGTCATCTTATAAAAGTCACCTTTTTAAACTTTCCATGGTTAAAAGTTGTTGGAACACAAAAACCAAAATCCCATAATGCAATTCAAAAGCATAAATAAATGTGAAAAATAAATAAAATACAGAAATCTGCTAATTTACAAATATTTGTTACAGCGAATGCTCAGTTTACAACTCAACTATAGAGATAAATATCTCTAAATTAGATATAGAGGTTTTCAATTTTTGATTTCATTTAGCTGTTCTCCAAGTCAGGGTTAGCTCAGCATAAATCATTGAATTGGATTAGACCATTAGCATCTCACATATAAAACATTTTTTAATTAAAAAAAAAAAAAAAAACTTTTATCAAAGTTTTGATAAATTTCTAGTTAAATTGTTACATTGTGTACTAAGAATAAAAAGTGCTATTATCTACATTGATATTGCTAGGAACTATAATCTCATTATGGTCAAAGATTAGAGAATACAGACTGTAGAATACAGTTATGGTCTAATGATCAAGGAACTTGATTGCACCTGCTGCAGCCATGGTACAGCACCAAAGTTCCTGAATCATTACCGCAGAATAAGAATATAGTTCCTAGACATATCTATTGTAAAATAAGCCTTTTTCTACAAAAAAAGTGTAGAATTCCTTTAATGTGTGTTTCACATGTGTTCCATCTTTGTTACAAATTTGAGCATTTTAAACACAACTAAAGATTTTTTTCTTTATTTATTTCTGCTCATAAGTTCAAAAAAATTACAATGTGTGATATTGATGGTTCAATTCAATTCTTCTGAAGATTGGTTCATTTAATTCGGGCTTTTTAGCATTAATTATGGCCAACAAAAATTCTAACAAGCTTGCTGGTCAAGCAGGAGTCATTGAGGTTTGTTGCTAACAAGTTTGCTCTTCTGCTAGTGAGATTTGTTCTCATGCACCAAGCAGAATTGTTTTATATAAATTTACCATGTGTGTTGACCAATAAATTTGATCTGAATTAAATCTGGTAATCAATAATAACAATTATATTCTGATTTGTGTTTCACAGACTCATAAATACTAACTTAGATTAAGTCACAAGGTTTTTCTGACAATTTGGGCATCCAATGGAGTTACAAGAAATAGTCACAGGTTTTTTTGTAATACTTTAAAGTGATCAAGCATTTTTGAAACCTAAAACCTAAAGAGTCAATATTCGAAGACTATTGATTTATGATGTGCATGTGTGTAAAGGGTGTACAGTTTTTGGCCTACTTTTCTCTTGGTGGTTCACTGCGGGAGCGTGAGGCGGGCATTGTATCTGCTCCCTTTGGATGGTCACCGGGACCAGCGTTGGGTAGCAGAGTGTCGTTGGCACCCGGAACCTGGGATCTGGAGCGCAACTTCCTCTCCTTCTCCAACTCAGGGCCACTGAGGGGAGAACCCACACTAAGAGGCCTCCCCCCGGGCCCTGATGAAAACCATTCTCCCGATTTAGTTAGGATTTCCTGCTGTTTCCTGCACAGGTTACATACCCACATCACCTGCATAGATAAATGCACCTGTTATTAAGACAGGCAGAGATTGATAATCAGTGCAAATGATCAAGATTTACAGCATAGCTAATATTTCAGACTTCACAATACTTGAATTAATTGTAAGAAACCATTTAAAAGACGTTTTAAAAATTGACAGTATGACACACAGACATAGACACATCATTTACATTCATACAATGAATAAACACATTCACACATACCAAACATAGAGGCAAAGAACATGAGGTATAAATAATGAGCTGTAATAATATAACACTAAACAATCAAGATCAATCGGGTATAAAAGTTAGATCTAATTCTTTGCAATATTTTCCTAAACCTACACGATGGCTATATTTTGACAAATGAGTCCAAGTTTGTATATCTAGCATCCTCAGTACAAGGTTTTAAAGTTGGCAGTACCTAAAGACACCATAAATAAAATAACACGTTTTCAACATATCGTCCATATTGAAACAGGAAGATGGGATGGCACATTACCAAGAAACTTTCACAAACAAACTATAAGAACGTGTGAATTTTTAAATATTGGCCAATACTGATAAATTACACTTTATATTAGAAAGCTGCTATCTGATATGTAGACCAATAAATATAAACCTGATCTGAATTTAATCCAAGCTTGTTTACAAAAAACAAAAGACAGTGGCAAGTTCAGTGGACAACTGATAGAATTGAAAAACCTTTTTTGCAGGAATCCGTTAGGAATCATTCCTGTAGTACAAAAAAAAATCTAAATCAGACTGATGTTTCACAGTAAACAATATTTTAAAAAATCAGAAAGGTTACAGAAAAATTTATGCTGCTCTGAAAGTTCCAATGAGCACAGTGGCCTTCATCATCTGTAAGTGAAAGATGTTTGGAACCACAAGCACTCTTTCTAGAGCTGGCTGCTCATCTAAGCTGAGTGATCGTGGACGAAGGGCTGATCAATAACGCGATGGTTGCTCTGTCTGAGCTCCAGCGTTCTTCTGTGGAGAGAGAACCTTACAGAAGGACAACCATCTGTACAGCAATCCACTAATCAGGCCTGTATGGTAGACTGACCTGACGGAAGCTACTCCCTATTTGGAATTTGCCAAAAGGCATCTGAAGGACTCTCAGACCATAAGAAACAAAATTCTCTTGTCTGATGAGACTAAAATTCAACTCTTTAGAGTAAATGCCAGATGTTATGTTTGGAGAAAACCAAGCGCCATTCATGACCAGGCTAATGCCATCCCAAAGCATAGTGGTGGCAGCATCATGCTGTAGGGCTGTTTTTTAGCAGCAGGAACTGGAAGACTAGTCAAGATAGAGGAAAAGATGAATGCGGTAATGTACAGAGACACCCTGAATAAATACCTGCTTCAGAATGCTCTTGACCTCAGACTGGGGCGACGGTTCATCTTCCAGCAGGACAATGACCCAAAGCACACCACCAAAATATCAGTAGAGTGGCTTTACAACAACTCGGTAAATGTCCTTGAATGGCCCAGCCAGAGCCCAGACCTAAATCCTATTGAACATCTCTGAAGAGATCTAAAAATGGCTCTACACCATCGCTTGTCATATGTAGAATTTTTTAGGAAATACATGAGTTTAATCCATTTTGGAATAAGGCTGTAACATAAAAAATGTGGAAAAAGTGAAGCGCTATGAATACTTTCCAGATGCACTGTATATACTGTATATATTTTCATTTAGTATATCCAATGAAAGTCCACACAATAAAAAAACATTTTCATGCATGTAAAGGAATTGATCAACACACAAACTCATCAAACTTGCTTACTAATAGAAGTTTGAAAAGAACAAATGTTAGTGGTTTTATTTAAATTAACAGCTCATGTCATAGGGGAGTTTCTTTTACAATCTCTTGATGATTTTTTTTAAAATCATCAAAGGTAATGTCTTTGGGGTCGGTAGCAGTGCAGGGTAAGATATTTTAAAAACGTAAATAAATGACTTATTACATCATTATAATTGTATTTAAATTACTTTTACAATGACTTTGTCTGAAAAGTAACTCAATTACCTGTTTCAAATTAATGACACCACATTTTAAACATATTGACAATTTTTTATTCCATTCTTTCTTAGGCATGAGCAACTGTTGCACAAATCATTCTTCAGCTGATCAAAACTGGGTTATTATGTAAATTATATAAACAACAAAAATATATATACAGTATTTATGTACATTCTCTGCTTCACACTACCTTATATACAGCTTATATTTTCAAGAACTAATTACTCCCTTGTCTTAAGCATTTTCAATTATTCTGATAAATGTATACTTCTAAAACAGAATTATTTCACAAAAATATATTTGTATAACACAAAAAATATGATTGATCTTATTCTCTGAACTTACACAAATTAATAACAAAAAAAGTCATGACAACTTGTGTTTTTATCTTAATTTAGAAAGTCAATCAGGTTTCAACTTATTCTTTTAAACAACTTTAAGTTAAACAACTTTGAACTTTCAAGAACTTTAAACTTTTTTAACAACTTTTAAGTCAGCTTAGTTGATGTAAGTTAAAATGACTTGCAAAGTTGAATTGGTTCATCTTAAAAATTTAAAAAATTTAACATTTTTTACAGTGTACAGCACCATTAAATTCATGTTTTAAGGCAAGTACACTATAAGAAACTGTAATTAAATTACCTGAAAACTAAAAGCAATCCCCTATATTATTTTTTTTTCATTACAGTAATAATTGGGTACTTTGTATCTAATTACACCCAACACTGTTTGGTAGGTAATCTATAATGCTATAAAAATGTGATGTACAGTATCTTCTGAATAAGAAACAGAAATCTGTCATCCTTTTCTTCATCTGTGTAGATTTTTTGCAATGCAAATGCATCAGTTATTATATCATAAGCCTCACATTTATCAATCTGCTTCCTCCCATCATTTTCCTTTTCCCCAATGAAGCCCTATTATTGAGCCCTGTAATGGTTCATTCATGAGATGGATGGCTGAGTCTGCCTAAAATACCTCAGCCGACACCATATTTCATCACTTCCTCCCCCTATATTTCTCTCATTCTCTCTTACACAGACACACACTCTCTCACTTGCTTTTTTTGTTAGCTAACCAACTTGACAGGCCTGATCTGACATGATTAGCAGCAATGCTAAATCAAACTAACAGCTCTTGACTTGACAATGAGTTCATGGCTTTAAAAGCACAAAGGTCCAATCTATTGATTTTGCATTAGGCTCTTAAAGCAGCTTCAGAACGACAGTAAATCTGCTTCTACTACAACACATGACGGTGTCCATGCTTTTTCCTTCTAAATAATATTTGATTGAGAAGAACCCTGATCTCAGTGATTGTTAGCTCAGGAAGGAAGCCAAAGGTCTATGCGATACATAAAATGTGTAAATCACATGGACACCCTTCAAACGACGCTGCATGTTTTATCAGCTGGATGAATGGTGAGAACGGAAAAGCTGACATCCTCTGTAAAGCCTGCATCGTTTTAGTCATCTTTAGCACTCTGTGATCAGTCGCAAATGGGTTATGAAAGCAAGAGCTTATATGATGCACAAAAACAGGATCTTCTGCAACTGGCAAAGCCATGAATGCATCCTTTAAGCAATAACCATCTGCAAAGTTATAACATTTCATAAAAGTTTAAATATTGTATGCCACAAACAACAGTACTCACATGGTGGCATCCCTGATGACAGATCCCCCATCACAGAGTAAACCTTCAACTCCATCAAAATCCAGAATAAATGTCCTTAATTGCCAGTGCCGACAAAAGCGTCGCATTTCGGTTTTGACCTGATCTTAAAAAGAGACGAGAGGCTGTTCTAGGACAGTATGGATATGAGGGAGAGTGAGAGAAAGGGAACGAGAGAGCATCATGGCCTGATTGGATCCAGTTGGCACGACTCCAGCGTAATCTGAGGTAAATCAGATGTGCAGAGGCCCACAGCTGTCAGCCAGCCAGAGAAACACTCTCAGGAAGGATTAGCAATCCCTGCTAATCCTACCATGCTACTGCTAGCCTTTGCTAACCGTTATTCAATAGTGATGAGAAAATGCAGCTCGTGGTCTTCTCTACGACATAACTGAGAAACTATGGTTGCCAGTTTGATCTCAAAAAGAGGAATCCAGGGTCAATGGTTTATTGTGAGTAATTAGCTCATTTTGGGGTGGAAACTGGTTTAGGATCACAAGAGTTTGAGACACCTAAAAATGCTAATATGTTCTGCAAAAGGATAGCTGTGTAGATGTCTGGATTACTCAGCACTAGTTTTGTGCAGTCGAGGATGGGTAAAATAATCCAAGGATTTAATCCTTGAATTAGACAAAATTCGAGCTGCGCACACAACAGAGAATTCACTTTCTCTCCATTTTATTTTGTTGCTTTTTTTTCCACCGAAGGCCGGTTTACAACAATATCCAGGGCAGCTAAAGCCATTAAAGCTTCACATCTTGTGAAGGCTTGATTCTAGCTGTTCTCAACTATAGAACCATGGGAGGGTAAAAATCAAAAACAGCAACAAAAATAAATAAAATGTGACCTTGCAATAAGACCATTGTTATCACAGAAGAGAGTGAGAGAGGAAGAGATTAAATCAGAGAGAGAGTAAGAACAGTAGTTTTGCCGTATTCCTGAATAGCCTGAATAGGATTTACTTGCGCAGGCAAATCACTAAACTGAACTAAGTATCAAAAGACCCCATAAAAATCAGACAGTAAACAAGCTTAATTTAATTCAACTCCAGACCTGAGGTCAGCATATATGAAAGAGGGAGGGTGGTTGTTGGTTTGGAGAGATGAAAAACATTGTGTGCATGTGTGTGGGTGTGTGTGTACATATGTGTGCGTACATTTAAATGGATGTAAATACATTTCTCTATGGTTCTGTAAATGTGTGTTAAAGCCTTCCCTGCTTTAATGAATACTGTTCTCCATGGCAACCAAATCAGTGACAGAAGCCTCCAAAATAGATAATTATTAACATCACAATTATGTG